ACAGCCAAAAAAATTAAGGAAATACGCGGGACTTCAAGGGAGTGCTTTATCCTAATTTTTATACAAAGGGACTGAATAATATGTATAGGTAATTGTACAATAGGATTAATGTATTTCTTTGATCATGACTACATGTGTAATTAATTTGGGAGCAGAAAGGTAGCTTGAATTCCTTATTTCTTTTCTTTTCAAACATCTATTATTTATTTTTTTATCTTTTATATTTTGAGAGAGACAGAGAGAATGCCACTGGGAGAGAGGGAGAGAGAGGATCCCAAGTAGGCTCTGTGCTATCACTGCAGAGCCCAATGCCAGGCTCCATCCCAGGAACCATGAGATCATGACCTGAGCCGAAATCAAGAGTCAGATGCTCAACCCACTGAGCCACCCAGGCGCCCCTCTTAGGATTTCTCTTTAAGAAGAAGACAACTCCCAGGAATTGGCAGGATGCACGGTGGTCTGTTTGAGGAAAGAACGGAACTGCGCCATACATCTACTCAGTGTCCGTGAGAGACACAGACACACGCACAGAAAAGCAACTCACTTCAAAGACTACAGAGCAACAAAATAACTGTGGGCTATTTCCCGGGGTCAACATAGATTCACATCAGCTTATACTTTCCCAGTCAAATCTGCATCACCGTGTATTCGTAATTGTCAGCAGGCAGTAACTCTAAGGCACTGTAATGTTTCGATCATAAAAAGAGATTAAAGCCATTTGTATATACTCCGCTTACTAACATAGGAAACCTACTGAACATTTTTAGGAAAATTATCAAGCCCTAAGTTTGAAACAAAAAGGGATTCCATTTAAATCCGTCTTAACCTTCTATTTTGTTCGGGGCTAGGTCTTGGTATTTCTAAAATGAATTTCAGTCGCTAAAAGAATAAACTATTTAGGAATTACCAGAACCATTTCCTGAAATTCTGAAAACCCTTAAAATTTCATATTAGCGTGTCGTGGAATTCAAACTACCTTTCTGCTCCCAAATGAATTATCCATGTAGTCATGATCAAATGATCGTATGCTTTGAACAATGTGTATTTGTGTGTGTGTGTGTTTAACTTTTATTGGTGCTAATTTACTCAACAAGGAAGGTCCCAAAGACCTGGGAAATTATTATTTGTATGGTTTTGTAATATCCATAACAAAGGAAATTTGGCCGATCATCCCATTCCAGATTTTGAGTGGATGACAATTTTGGCAGGAAGAAGAATATAATTTAGTAAGTCAATGAAAAAAATATTTAAAATAGGCCTCTATCTTTATAGAGAAAGATGATGCAAACATTGTATGAAAAATAGAAGCCAGCTCTTTAAATTGATTTATGTGGTCTGTTTTAACATGTCAATATTTTATGTGCTATATGTCTGTTAGTAATCTGTTTTCATGGGCAAGCTCATTATAAATGTGCACTTATTGGAGGTGAGCTTTATCTTCCTTTCACACCAGGCCTTATTTAAAACTAGACAAATACACTGGGGAGCCTGGGTGGCTCAGTTGGTTAAGTGTCTGACTTCGACTCAGGTCATGATCTGGTGGTTCAGGAGTTCAAGCCCGCTTCAGGCTTTGTGCTGACAGCTCGGAGCTTGGAGCCTGCTTCAGATTCTGTGTCTCCCTCTCTCTCTGCCCCAGCCCTGCTCATGTTCTGTCTGTTTCAAAAAAAAAAATAAAAACATTACAAAAAAAAAAAAACTAAACAAATACATTCTTGATTTTAGGTATATATGCAGTGCTTTCTGTTTCTTATTTTTGTTTTTTGTTTTTTTCCCACAAATTCATTACTTTTGTAAAGACTCTGTGAGTCTTATAAGCTTGATCGTAATTGCTAATATTAAGAAGACAGGCATGGAGCCTAGAGGTCATCCACCTAAGGAAGATGATTTTCTTCCAGTGATTCACTCAACATCACCAAGAAATACCCTTTTGGGTCTAGTTTCCTTATCTGTGAAACGAAGGTTTTGCCATGGCTTATTGCTAAGGGTCCTCTTTTTTGTGATTCTATAAAAACAATTACTTTTGCGAATTCCTTTTAACATAAGATATATGGGAAGTTTGGGATCTTTTAGCATAAAAATTTAAGAAAATAGGAATCAGGAAGATATAAGCAGGAATTAGCCAGATATATACTTTCATGTAAAAAATCTCATTCAGGATTAGGTAAAATGAAAATCCCAGGATTGGTATGTGCATATATGGAATATTGTTTTGGTTTTACATTTTAATGTGCAACTGTGCCTGCCCTAACAAAATGAGTTTTCAAGCAGTAACGTTTGCCCTAAAGAAAAAAAAATTGTCAGTTGTGGTCTGTGTAGGCAGTGTGTAGGCAGGACTCTCGGCTTCCAGGAAAATTTCTGTCTTTACAAAAAAGAGATTTCCCAGCTACCTTTTGAATTATTTCCCTAAAAACACGACTTGCTTGACGCCAGAAGTGACCTGTGGCTGCCTCCCCCTTCACCTGAGTTGCAAACAAACGCTGAGAGGAAAGAGAGAGGAGGTGTGGTCAGAGGTGCTGGGAGGCGGTGGGCCCAAAGCTTTTGCGGAAAATGGTCCGATTGACTGGATCTCCATGAGGGCTATCGATTGCTGACACCTGGTGTGGGTTGAACTGAGTCCCTCTCAAATTCATTTGTGGAAGTCCTATCGCCTAGGACCTCAGGATATGACTTTAAGTGGAGACAGTGGCTTTGCAGAGGTAATCCAGGTAAAATGAGTCCATTATATAACTGGTGTTTGTATTAAAAGGGGAAATATGGAAACATACATATACGGGAAGAAGGCCATGGGAGCATGAAGACAGCCTCCTATAAGGCAAGGGGTGAGGCCCAAAACAGACCCTTCCCACACAGCCCTCAGAAGGAATCAACCCAAATTAACTCTTGATTTTGGATTTCTAGCCTCCTGAACTGTGAGATACTAAGTTTCTCTTATTTAAGGAACCTATGTTGTGGTACTTTGTTCAGCAGCCCTAGAAAACTGACACAACACTCAGCCTGAATACATTCAAGGAATAAGTAAGCAGCAAAAAATTCTGATTGTATTGGAGTCTTCCCACAGAGAAGTGAACCTTATTTGGTTTGTTTGAAATGAAACTGGGTATCTTTTTTTGTATGGTTTTATTTGTAATCAAGAGACTTCTTTTTTAACTGAAAAACAATTATACATACACATATATACCTACACATATATACACATATATGCATTCATATGCTCCCATAAGTGTTGTTAAAAAAGTTAAACTATACAGAAATATAGAATGTAAAATAAAAGCTATTTTCCAGTCCTCTTTCCTCAGTTTTAAATACCTCCCTAGCACTTTGCTGTTTGAAATCTAGCTTTGTATTTTTACAGTGCTAGATTCTTAATGTTACACTGTACAAACTTTAATACAATTCCAGTCTGATACCGGAGTTCTGCTAAAACAGTACATTTAAGAGTCCATGCTATGGGACCATGTTATAAGTGGGCTTTTACATACTTCTGTTATCTCAGCACCATGGGTAAGCTATAAAATAGGCCTAGTATTTTAAGTTACATCCTATAATAGGTCACATGTTTAGAATTTAGTATAGTACCAACCAAGGAAGAATTTTTTAAAAATCAACTATCAACTTTGTTTTTTTCCTGGCTTTGTTTCGTTTACTACTTAAAATATTTTTATAGTTAAGAAAAAAACAACGGACTTCATCTTGTTAAAGCGTTTTTCTAGGAACCAATAATAAATGACCTGCCTTCTCTGAAGTTTGAGTCCGTTATAGTACAGTGATACCCCTTTTATAGAGAACTCAATAAACCAGTAGCTCACCTACCTGAAATAATAGACTAGGACTTTAGGTATAAAGGTCTCTGAATAGACTAAATGAACATTGCAAAATCTGCACAAGAAAGCTCAGACCTTTATCAACAGACATGTCCCATAAGTTGTTAATTGGTGTGTGTATGTTCATGTTCAAATATAGCTCCAACAACTTATCATGAGTCCAAAGTAGAGTAGGGGCGCCTGGGTGGCTCAGTGGGTTAAGCGACCGACTTCAGCTCAAGTCATGATCTGGTGGTTCGTGCGTTCGAGCCCCATGTCAAGCTCTGTGCTGAAAGCTCAGAGCCTGGAGCTTGCTTCGGATTCTGTGTCTTCCTCTCTCTTTGCCCCTCTTCCCCTCAAAAATAAATAAACATTTAAATATTAAAAAAAAAAAATGATGGGTATTGAGGAGGGCACCTTTTGGGATGAGCACTGGGTGTTGTATGGAAACCAATTTGACAATAAATTTCATATATTAAAAAAATAAATAAAAATTAAAAAAAAATCAAGTATTTAAAAAGCAAAAAAAAAAATTTAAAAAAAAAGTAGAGTAAAAGTCATTAAAAAGAGGCAATATTTTACTCCTTGTATGCACAATGACAAGACTAAGAAGGAAAGTTTAAACTCTCAGTAGCTAGGAAGGAACCAAAAACTATAAAATGCTAAGGTAAGTTGAAAACAATTGGGTGGAATAATTTAGTAACAGGGAAAACAGTGCTTTAGGTCTTGAGGTCATTCTTATATTAGAGTACTAAATAATAACTGATGCTCTAAAGTGGCCCTGAGTCATTGTGAAAAAAATTTTTATTGCGATCAATATTGAAGGTGGTAGAAAATTGGGTAATATATTTAAGAATGATTTCCACCTAAAACTTTGCAAACATTAAAAGGATTTGGGGGGAGGGAGATTTGGTGTACATGAAAGTGAAGATTTGGTTATCTGCAAAATTTTGCTGTATAGGTATTTGAGGTTTTCTTAGTATCGCAATTAAAGTATTGTATTTGCTTGCATAAGTATTGCATTACATGAGTATTGTACCTTAATTTAACTGGCCCTTGGTTAAGATAGAACATTAATTCCATTGGTTGAAAGTAAATTGTGAACCAATACTTAAATGTTTGTGGTACTCTTCCTTATTTAGGCAAGTTGAGAGCTACATTGTATCAGAATGAAGGAAAGCCCACATTCTCGGCCTACAGGGGCAGTTCATAAAGAGGAATGGACTTCAAATGAAGAGACCTCATTAAAATGCATGCTTCTCATTCTTGGAGCTCTACAAATAAAGGAGAAGCAAGAGACCATCAACAAGATGGTGTTTGTTTCAAGTTTTACAGGTACCTTTTGTTCCACAGCATCATATCAAGGGGTATGTTGTTATTTAAATTATATTCAAATAGTCCAATAATGCCAATTTAGGGCTGAAAGACAAGGAGAAGCTGAGAACATATGAGATGACGCTTTCGGTCTTATAAGTAAATTAAGGCAATATTATTGGTAATATTGAACAAAGAAATGGTATAATAACACTTTCTGAACAGTGGGCTTACACTTGGATGCCATTTGGTGATTCCCCTATAACGTGCCCAAGTGCAACGTGAGGTGCTCTCCACTAACAAAGAACAGCTTATTTATAACAGCTTGTAAGCAGAGGTCTTTCAAAGTGCAAAGATACCCTCTTTCCTTCCCAAGGAGCAATTGCTTTGCACATATGTGCTACAAATACCAAGCACGGGGAGCTTGGTTTTTAATTACAAAGTAAAATATCATTCCAAAATTGCATAATTGGTGGTTGCCTTTTGCAATGCAATGAACATAAGGGAACCTGACATTAAATATTTGACGTGCTGCCATGACATTTTCTGAGATTTTATTTTATGCTGCTTTTAAGCTGCAGACTATGTTAAATTTGAATTCCTTGGGGGGTAATAGAGTGATACAGAATTAAAGAACCTAGCTCTCATGTTGGAATGCCTGTGTTCACAGATTGTACAGTTCAGATTTTAGGGAAAAAAAGTAATTATAGAAATGGAGACATATTGGATTCTTTATTCTCTCCTTACAGTAGTTACTTTTTTTTTTTTTTTTTGGATCTAGAGACCATTTAGTCAGGGAGGGATGTCTCTGGTTTTCCCTTTGAGGGAAAGACAGCGGAGTGGAGGAAAATACAGTGACAATCAGTGCCCAACATTGTGCAGGCTGCTGAAATTAATAGACCGATGTCACAGACCCCTGTAGTGTGTATATTCCCGCATGTCACAGAGTTGCTGGAAGAACGGTAGTAGACCTGATGCTGCCCTAGTTCTCTCTGTTCCAGAAAGTGCCTTTTGGAGTTTATGCTATTTGCTCAGCAGGGTTCAATGCTTCTGCAGCCGATGGCACCACCCTGATAAATTGGAGGATAATGCGCTCCAACTTGCCCCTTTCCTACACCTGCGTTTCCTACACCCAGCACCCCCTTCTGTCCCTTACTCCACAAAGAGAGCACGGAGAGCCCACATCTTAAAGCCGAAAGCGACTTCAAGAGTTCATCTGTTCTGTCACTGAAAGAGCAAAGGGCAAGTAGGTGTGGAATTTTCTTCCATAATGTAATAGAAGAAAATAAATTCTTTTTTTTTTTTAATTTTTTTTCAACGTTTTTTATTTATTTTTGGGACAGAGAGAGACAGAGCATGAACGGGGGAGGGGCAGAGAGAGAGGGAGACACAGAATCAGAAACAGGCTCCAGGCTCTGAGCCATCAGCCCAGAGCCTGACGCGGGGCTCGAACTCACGGACCCTGAGATCGTTTCCTGGCTGAAGTCGGACGCTTAACAGATTGAGCCACCCAGGCGCCCCAGAAAATAAATTCTTAATGGTAAAAATAAAAAAAAAATCTTGGGTTAACTTCTTACTGAGGAGTATGGACAAAAAGCCTTCTTGGGTGGGTAAAAGACAACTTGACTGCTTCATTCATTCTGAAGGCCTAACGTGTATATCCAAATCAGTGTTGTCAGGGACGCTGAGAATGAATTGCAGCCTAAGGAGGAGGCTCACCACCCCGCCCAGCCAGCTTTTGCATTTTCCTACACATTAGTGCTTTGTGTCATCACATTTCAGGGTTATTTCCTCTGCCCCAAACCGATGTTTTTCAGGTTTGGTGTTATTATTTTGATGACCCCAATAACAGAAGTAGGACCACTTACACACACAGCCTGACCAATTCCAGCATTTTCTTTGATCTTAGAGATACTGTAAGCAGAGCATGGCTGTGACCCTCTCACTTGGTTGGCTGAGCAACGTTCAAGGCCAGCATTCAAATTCTCCCTTTTCTTTAAAGCGATCATTTAGTATTTATTTAAAATATAAAATTATTTTTGTTGCTGATATTACCAATAATATTTATTGCATTTTTAAAAATTTTTATTTATTTTTTAGAGAGAGAGAGCGCACACACATGTGAGAGGGGGAGGGGCAGACAGAGAGCGGGACAGAGGATTGAAGGGGGCTGTGATCTGAAGAGAGCCCGATGTGGGGCTCAAACTTACAAACTGTAAGATCATGACCTGAGCCGAAGTTGGACGCTTATCCGAGTGAGCCACTCAGGCCCCTCTTTATTGCATTTTTAAAGCAATATATCTATAAAATATTTGTGGAGAAGTATTTCTTTTTGCTTTTCATAGGGAGCTAAAAGGCTTTCTTGGAATCAATCAGCTCTAGGACTAGAATACAGAGATACTTTCTTTTCGTTTTTTGGTTTTTTTTTAATGTTTATTCATTTTTGAGAGATAGAGAGAAACAGAGCATAAGTTGGGGGGAGGGGCAGAAAGAGAGGGAGACACAGAATCCAAAGCAGGCTCCAGGCCCTGAGCTGTCAGCACAGAGCTCAACGCAGGGCTTGAACCCATGAACCACGAGATCATGACCTGAATTCAAGTCGGTGGCTTAACTGACTGAGCCACCCAGGCGCCCCTATAGATACTTTCTATTCCAGGGTTCTTTTTGCCTGTAGCCCTGGGTACCATGGGAAAAAGAAATTAATCTGCCTCTTAACAAAAATTTACCTTTTACATCTTTTCTTTAAATGTCATGTTTTGGATACAAAAGTGCATACAAATTAAGTTTATCTATGATGTCATGCATGTAGATTGGTTTAATATGAAGGCTTCTAACTCAACCAAAGTGGTTCCACTTTTAAAAATTATGAGTGTTATTTTTATTGCGTTGAACACCAAAATAATTGATTTGATGATGTATATAAGTAGCTTTAAGTAATTTTGCAGATGGACAATTTAAAAGCATGTAAAATTCTTTGGCCTACACACATTTTTCAGGATGGTTGCCGATTCAATGAAACATCTATAAAAGATATAACAGAGAGTCAGAACATCAGATTAGTGACGGGAAGAATCTGAGGTTGAAAATGAGAGTATTGGGAGATGTTATAATCCCAGTTATATTTCTTTTTTTTTTTAATTTTTAAAAATGTTTATTTATTTTTGATAGAGAGACAGAGCATGAGCAGGAGAGGGACAGACAGAGAGACAGACAGAACTCCAAGTTGTGCTCCATACTCTGAGCTGTCAGCACAGATCCCGATGTGGGGCTTGAACCCATGAACCACGAGATCGTGACCTGAGCCGAAGTTGGGTGCTTAACTGACTGAGCCACCCAGGTGCCTCCTTTTTCTTTTTTTTTTTTTTAATTTTTTAAATGTTTATTTGTTTTTGAGAGAGAGAAACAGCATGAGTGGGAGAGGGTAGAGAGACAGAGCCAGTTATATTTCTTTCTGATATCCAAATGCAGAAAGGATTTTTTCTTTACCAAAGGAGAAAATACAATTATCAATAGAGAAGAAATATATGTATTTGCAATCAGGATTGAAAACATCCCTTTCAATAAAGGATTGACAGCTTTAATTTGTCTTAAAAAGCTAAATTTACCCATTAGATAGATGTAGCAACTGTATTTTACTCAATGCATTCACACTTATGTAGCTTTTTCAATAGCAATGATTTATAGTGCCTTAGCCCAACTGCAACATGTAAGCAGAGAATCTCATTTTCTGAAATCCAACCACAATCACAACAACAAGAAAAATCTATCTAAAAAGACAAACCAATTTAGAAAAGACTACATCAGTTCAAATGGAGTAAAAACAGCAGACATAATCAATTTTTGGTATGCACAGTATATGGCTATAGGAACTATGAACCAATTTTATTTCCTGTTGTTCAACAGTAGATTAACGGTAGAGAAAGTCCCATAATCTTAGTTTTTAATTCCTTATTCACATTCTTGACACATATTCCAAAATATTTGTTAAACTTTTACTAAAGTAATGAATGCCACTGAATGGGCTAACAATTCAAACTAGTTTTATTGGCATATTTTCTGTATACCACTCATTATTAGAAAATTTATCAGCATGATTATACATCATGATTATAATGTGAGTTTATATACATAAAACATACAATATCAAAAGCCAAGTCATCCTACTTGAAATAGTTTTCAAACGTTCAGAATGGGCCAAATATCTTTGATCCCTGAAGCACGCAAGACAAGTTAAAAATGATACAACTTAGTGAGTGAGTAGTAACATTTTATAGATTATCCTGAGCAGGGTTGATGCAGAGATTTAAAAAATCTATTACCTTGTTTTTAAGTTCCACACCAATAGCCCATGAATGCACTTTGACTCTGACAGACGGCTAAATATTGGGAATAAATCCTTCTTTCTTTCCTTCAGTTCCTAGAACGTTCTTGCCTTCCCCCTTGCCTGTCCACACCTTCAGAGCAAATCCAAAATGTAACATCCATGGACGTGTCTTCATGAGATCTCTAAAATTTAGCTTCAAATATCATAATCTTCACGGAGCTTAAATATTTATTATACCTTTCTTATACCACTTTCTGTATTGTGCTTATTTCCTGTATAATTTCTTAGACTGCTATTGGTATAAGCTTCTCGTCAACCTTGACTTATTTTCTTATATTCCACTGTGCTGAGCACAGTGTTTTGCATATAACAATTACTTAATACATATTTGTCCACCTGAGTGAGCTGCTGCCTTCCCAGCAACCTTAAGACACAATCTAGAATTTTCTTAAGGTCAGGGGCTAAGTCATCTGCCTATTAGCCTCCTACTGCACAGTGATAACATGTGTCCTAAAATAGAAAGATTCAGCTCACTTTGATACTTTGTTAAGAACTTTAAAAATTATATGCAATAGTTAACATTTATGTCGATTTTACTCTGTGTCAAGTGCGATGAGGTCACTGTGCTAGGACTTTTATAATCACGATCTCATTTATGTCTCATTATAATTTTGTGAAATTGGTAGTAGTCTTCCCCTCGTTGAGACCTAGATTCATTAAATAATTTGCTCAGTGCTATTCAGCCCACTAATGGCAAAAGAATGACTTTAACCCATACACTTAACTACTGATCCTATTGTACCTATTCAAGTGCCCAAGCAAGTCAAGAAGTGGGAACTGTTAAGTTCTAAAGGTCTCAGTGC